ATATTTTGCTATCGCGTCCTTATATTAGCTACAGCAGTAAAAAAATTAAATGTTAAATAAGAATTAGTACATTGCACAATTGATTTGACGAGTGTTCTTGAACGATAAATAATGGCATTCCATCGCGTTGTTAATCAACTAGTAAAAAGATAGCTTCAACCCATGTAGGCATTCTTTTCGCTCAATAGAGACTTCATTAAATACCAATCGACTACATTTTCGATGACCTTAAATACGGGATATTCGTCACTATCGGATTCAGAGCAGGAATTTCATCTATGCCCTTCGAGTATTTCCATTATCGACCCTCTGCGAGTTTGCAATACCGAAGAAGGGCGATGAGAAAGTACAAAAAGATAACAGGGAAATTTTTTTCGATATAGTGGGCGTATGAAAAATGCTGATATGCACCCATATCATTTTCCATTAAAAAAAAGAAATGGTGACAAGCTTATTCTCTGTAGAAGAGTAACTTAAGGTTATGGCTCTTTAAAATAAATAAACTTTATGAAAAATGCAAGCTCGCTATATGCAATCCTATGGTAAAAATATATGATACGAGATAAAATGTGAAAAGAATGTATGTACCTATAATATCTTTGCGGTCGATGAAGAATATCTTTCGAGAATTTGGAATAGGTTTTGAGACGGAGACAGGTTCGATCAACTCTCTTATTTCACGCGTGTACATAGGAGAAAAATATTTTTCTGCTGAAATTTTTGTTGATTTTTTGTCGTCAACTTACGCGAATAAATCGCGGTTACCTTTGTGAAGATATTAAAATAATAGAAGAATTTTTCGAGAGCCCGCAGCGAGATTCAACGAGGATTACATGAGCGTGAGCCTCTTGAATTCTTTTGTGTAAGTACGAGTCACGATTAAAAGCTTCAACATTGCTCGACGAAAAAGCCCTTTTATACCTTGTGTTCCACTGCTGAATCATACTCTCTTATTTCACGTATCATTATAAAGTCTTCATTATAAGTTAAAATATTTTTCATCGTAGTACGATTGTTTTCTTTAACAATTAATATTCAACATTAGAAATATTACGCATGTTACATTATCATTACGAATATTTTATGTAATTTATTTGGCATATATATATGATATATAAAACATGGAATTTATATTTTTGCTTTATAATTTCAATAATTTTATTAAATAATTTATTTGACAAATAATTGCTACAATAATCTTTGAACTTATATACTTATATCAATATAATTTTTAATTTATACTTTGACTTTACAGTTTGATTACATCTTCCATATACATTACTTTTCACATCTTTGCAATCTTAAAAATTGTTTTTTTCTATAAACTTAAATTAGAATTTCAATATGTTAATAAATGTATTTATGTGTTTCTATTATTATATATTTATAGAAAGTATAGTTCTACTATACATACATATAGTAGAACTATACTTGTATGTCTTGTATATATCTACAGCGTACACTTTTAAAGGACCATTTACTTTGGCCTTCGTGCGTTGGTTCTTGCCGTAAATTCGACTGGTTTTCGCGCGTTTTCAGCATTTGGTAGATGTGCCAGGACCAGAAATAGGCGGACGAAGTGAGCAAGGGTTCATTTTCACGCAGACAAAGTGTTGTACGGTTTAATAACGGCGGGCAGTGCAAAAGAGTGCTACGCGATCATAGTAGACAAAGTACGAAAAAGGCTGCGCACAAAGCGGCGGCACGTAGACGGCTTTTATTAACCAGATTTTAACGAGAAACCCCGATAAGTTCATAATATCTTGCCGCTTTTTGTAGACATAGATTTATTTAGAAATATAAACGCATTATGTAGAATTTTACTGCGAAAAAGTTATTATTTAAATTTGTTCGTACGTTTTTATATGCTTTCCTATTATAAACTATTACACCTTATTTGCAAATCTATTTAGATTTTTAAATAAGATTTAACGATGTGTACATATGCGTACATAATTTTTATAATAACATATTTGTTTTCGTAATAGAATAGAATTTTATCGCATGTTTAGTTCGATAAATTATAATCTTCAATTGCTATGTGAAAAATAAAAATGATTATTGCATAGCTTTCAACAATTGAATTAAATTTTACGCTCTAGAACAACATTAACTTTCATGTAACATGTTTCAATTTTGCACAAGAAACGTAGGTGAGTTTACACATACACACACACACACACACATATCTATCTCTTTACAATGTAAGCGGAGCTGCTGCAAATATTTTCCAGGTAGATGAGTCAGACTTTAACGCGATTATGATTCGGTAAACCGATATGCGATACGCACTTTGTTGCACGAGGTACCTCTTATCGATTTTCCGTTGACACCTTCCCTTTATGAATCTCTTATCTCCCCTTCATGATTTTCCGGTATTTTGAATCTCTCTCGTTGCTTAAAGATTGAGTTATTCTCACCAGTAAAATGCAAATCGTAGTGAAAGCGCACGAGGAAGAAGATATGAAAAGCTTCTACAGCTTGTAAAATAGCTTTAGATAATATTATACGCATATATATCAAAACCGTAGATTTTAATTTTTTACGAGACATTACTTTTTTTATTCAAAAACTAACCACGCTATTTATAAATGTCTAATAATCTTCAAAGTAAATTTTAAAGGATTCATTTTTATATAAATGCCTTCGTAATATAATATTCCATTGCATTTGAGAATATTGTGCAGATGGCTCTTTTCACACGGTTATTGGAAATAAAATTTTCAACAATGGAGCGCTATAAGCCGGCTACACCGTAATTACTTCAAACGAGAGCTTATAATTAATACTGTTTCGCTCAAGTATTTTCCCAATCAAGAAATTAACTGACATGAAAAAGAGTGAATTATAGTCGATAGATATTTCAAACATTCGCAAAAAAAGTGAACGTACAGTCGACAGATATTTTAAATATTCGCAAATCTTTACTTTTATACACATATAGTATGTATACACGCAAATCACACACGTGGGTAATACGTGTTATTGCGACGATTTTGTAATCAGTGTGATCCATGTTACTGATTACGATTTACGTTCTCTTACACGATCATAACAGTGTCTGTTCCTGCTATTTCGCCTAATCCGACTCAATGGTAACTATCCCTGTTTACGCTCTTAAAGGGCGATTTACACGGGGCGACTTTATTCGCTTGAAGCAGCGTCTAGGCATTAATTCGTCAGTGAATTCTCTCGATGCTGCTTTTATTCGCTCGAAGCAAGCTTCTTAATTCGTCAGCGAATTCGCTGATGAAAGCTTCTTCTACACGTTTGTTTTTTATTCGCTAATGTCTAAAATTTTGAAATCGCAGTGTCGAGTGGTCGCTTGACGACTTAAAAATTCGCTCTGGAAGAACAATGATCAAAGCGTTTGTCGCCAGCGATAAGAAGCACAAGAAGTTAGCGACAAATTAGCGACAAGCTAGCGACAAGCTAGCGACAAGCTAGCGATAAGCTAACGCCAAGCGTCGAAAACAGCATTCGCTGCAACTAGATGCTAACAAGAACAAACCAACGTCTAGAAAAAGTTTTTAATAGCGAATTCGCTATGACGTCATTAGACGCTGCTTCAAACAAATAAAATTGCCTCGTGTAAATCGCTCTTAACACAGAAGCATTGATAAAGAAAACTGTGTTTTTAAGTCCAAGTTTCTTTTTTTGTTTCTTTTTTCAGTGAAATCTTAGTTGCTTATCTTGTTTTATTAATAATAAAATTATAATAAAAATATAAAAATAAAACCATAATAAGAATGTAATCAGCTAGATTGATAAACTAATTAATTAAATTATCTTAATAAAAATTTAATGTTTGAAATGTAAGTATTTTAAAATACTTTGTTTTAAAAGATTATTATAACTTTTACTACCTATACGTATTTTAATAAAAAAATTAAACTTATTAACCTGTTTTTTCTGTTTCTTTTTCATTGTTTTTTGAAACAAAATTTTCAGTTCCAAAAATGTTAATTAATATTTCCGATTTTTACAGATAGTTATTTTCCCAATGTATTAATTATAAATTATATATTTAATGTATAAAAAATTTATGTTACGAAATTTTTTCGGGGGGGGGGGGGACCAGGGATGTACCGTGCACCAATCGGAATGACAACAAAAAAAAAAGGAATTTGCTCTTGTATTAAAAAGAAGTCACTGCACCAATTTTGTTGTAATTTACAACAATTTTTAACATTAATGAATTCCATTTGGATATTTTTACAACTTTTAATGTTTCCTCAATTTGAAAAAGAAAAATGTTACGTTTTGTAAATCATGTAACTTTTACTTATTTTTTTAAAGATTTTTTTAAGAAGGATAATACAGTTACTATAAAAATGTATTAATTAGTATTAAGAATTACTTATATAGTCTTATAACGAGAAAAAATATTTTACGTAACAGCAAAAAAACTTACATAAAGTCAAAAGTAAAGTTGTATGTGTTTAACATTTAAAAATGAAAGAGAGGAGTTCGATAGAATATATACATCGCCAATTCAAAATAAAATATTCTCATTAGTAAAGCAGTAAAAAATTATTAAATATCAACCGATGTGAGTGGATGTGTGCTATCAGAATGTGTGCTAACGGGATCCTTTCAAAATAAAATAATTAATAAAAAATTTCGGGGGGAGGGGTTTGAACCTCCAACCCCTCCCCCCTGGATACGCCCATGATTATATATAGTTTTACTTTGTATATTTCATTTAATGACATTAAATTACCTTATTCATGTTATTTTATTTAAGTAATGACATTAAATTACCTTATTCATGTTATTTTATTTAAGTAAAATTTAATCTATCTGCAAAAAGATCGTAAAAATATGAGAACTCTGATAATTTTTGGAGCATATTTTTAAATGAGCAAATTCACATTTCAGTGAAAATTAAATTATAATTTGCTTTAGACTGCAGATATCAATATTAATGATCAAAAAGTTCGTCGTTAATAAAAGTAGACTTGATTTGCGACTGTTTTTTCGTAATTTGTTTCATTTAACCTAAATATCCAAATACGAATGCTTTCCAGCTTAAACGAATAAATTATTGACGTCGCGTGATTACAGAATATGTTCGAATGTATAAAATGATTGATTCTTCCAATATTATATCACATTTGAAAAGTTCTGTTTTGTAGTTCGATCATATAAATACAGAAGAAGATTAGGATTTGTCTTGAAAGATTTCTTTCAAATTCACTTGATTTCTTCCTACTCATGCAAGTATCCGAAACTTTTGCCAGTCAAAAAGAATCTTCTACTAAGTGTTAAGAAGAATTGTCAATCATGACATGATTCAGCATGTGTATTTGGGGCGTGTGAAAAAGATTACCTTTCTCAAGAGAAATGGCACGGATCTTCTCTCGGTTTGAATTTTAGAAAGAGTGCCACGGGCGAGAGAAAAAGTTTGATGTTGAATCGATAGGAGAAAGTTGCCAGCAAATCCGATGTTTCCTGCAAAGATACGAAAGTAACGAGCGAAGCAATCTGCGAGACTTTGCAAGGATTGGACCGCTGCGAGGTAAGTGAGTCCGATTTACTATCCGTACCAGAAAATGAGGCTTTGCACACAGTAAAAAATTTTGTGTATTTGTGTTGGAAACGGTCTACTCACGTTTGTGTTAACAGTTTGTGTTGAATTTTTTAACATATTTGTGTTAATTTAACATAATGTGATTATGTTATTTAAACATTTTTTGTGAAATTGTTATTAAATGTTGCTTAGTGTCAAAATGACACAATTTATGAGTAAGCGAACAAGTAACATAAAAATAATGTGTTTTAAAACGTAAATTTTAAGATAAATGAATGAAATATGTGTCAATTTAACATGTCATAAATGTTAATTTTCTAAAAAAAAATATGTTTCCACGGTTTGTTTACAAACTGTGTCGATGTTATCTTTCTTTGTATTTATTCTCTTACATAATATTCCTTCTAACATATTCATTTTGTATAAAATTAACTAAAAAATTTGAGTGGACCGTTTGGGACATGCGATTTATGTTAAATTTAACACATTTTTTCCAGCTGTGTAAAATTTTTGCTGCTAATTACAATTTGCTGCGATTTAAATAAAATCATATTTTAAAATTTCATCTACATTAAATGCACAAAGATAATTTATAAAAGTACTAATCTCTAGCTAAATTAAAATAAGTTAATTCATTGTACTGAATATTTTTTAATGAAGAGAAAAATAAATAATTTATATTAAAAGATATATGTGATTCCATTCTACCAAAAATCTTTAATCTCTTTAAAAAAGAAATAAATTAGAATTGATGGTCAACTATTGTAATGATATTATATAAATAATTCTATGACTTCAATCTTCGATAATAAGAATTTTATTATAATTACAGATAATTTGATTATTAAAATTAGTCGATTCGGTTCCGTCTCATCGTGATATGATATTCAGAAACAAATATTATTTGAACAACTCAATGATAAATATCACTTCAATATTTATTTTGTACAAGTTGTGCGTTTTATCAATCATCATCCGCGTAGACGTAACGTCGACGTGATTTTTTGATGCAAATACTGATGCTAACGCGATCCTGGGAAGATCCGTTGCACCGAGAATTGTAGATTCTATACAAATGCGTATAGCTGCAGCGATATACATGATGCGCGCATCCATCCATAAATGGCCTCTCTATCAATCGTTGTCGATTTGACATTTCGCTACAGGTTTTGCGCGATATTTCTCGTTGATAAACTCACGAATAACTTTTCCAAATTCCGTGACTGACGATAGCTGAGTTTAAACTGTCTAATTCTATGCATTCTTTCCGTGGTTTTAAACCAGTAATTTTCGATTAATTGTGCCGAACAATTTTATTCCAATACTATTTACGAAAATATTTGTAATTATTTACGTAAATATTTGAAGCTTTTTATTCGCGGTAATTTGAAATTCTTTGATTACAAACAAATATATTTTAAACATACAAAGTTATTTACATAAATTGTCGTTCCACAATCTCAATTGTAAAAATTTCTCAGATTACGAAAAGCATAAATTTTCAATACAAAAAAACATTTTAATATAAACAATGTTCATATTATTTTATAATTATATTACAATTATAACATTAAAAACTATAGTTTGTATTACAATGTTTTATATGGTAATAATATTTTATAAAACGTTCCATAACAACATTCGACCTTTATAAAAGGCTATGAAAAGAATGATACAGTGTTTGTTACATTTTATTGGGAGCATTTCAACTGCGCATTTTTGTTCGTAGATTATTTTGTCGAACGGAATTTTTGATCAAGAAGGTGACTTCGTAGTACGGCATTCAACGTATGTACGTGCACAGATTTCATTTCCGGTTGCAGAGTACCCTGAAGTTGAGCGAACAGCACGACTATCTCGAATCTCGCGATTCAGGAGATCATCACGAGTGAAATGGAGGATTTTCAAAAGGTCGAAACGGATTATCGAGAGTGCCGCAATGTGAAAAAGGATAAAGCGCCGTCATATTGTAATAGTCTGTTGTCGAACAGGAATAACTACGAATATCAAGATTTTAACATCACAGATCCGCTTTTGGCTCATGAATTGTAAGTAATGGAGAGTCAATTTATCTTATTTAAAATTATTTTATTTGTAATAGTAAAAATATATTTAACTTGCTTTTTTGAAACAAGGTATAATTAAGTGTTATAAGCAGAATTCGGATTTATCGTTTATGTATGAAGAGTGCTGCAAAGATAAACTTATAGATATAATACGGCGTTAAAAGTGGTTACTTTCAGAGTTTAATGTACTACTAAATGAGAAAAGTTATGTGTAACGATGTCTACCCATACAGGGATTTGTATGTACTATGTAATTTTCAGGTTTACGCCTCAGCATAAACGATAATAACTTCCACGCAAAATCTCGTGATAAAAGTAGAATTCATAAGATTCAAGTATACATTACAATATTAAGATGATATATGATCATAATTTTTGTAATTTATTTATATTTGCGTTAATGTATTATATACATTTTATAAATTTCATATGAAAGTAAAGTTTATATTATTATTCTTTATGACATATTTATAGTTCGTTATTATTATTATCGTGTATTTACTTCGTTCGTTGTATAAATAAATAAATAACGCCATGGAGTACAAGAAGAGATTAAAATAATATTCTAAAACAATTTTTTAAAATAGAAAATTATTGCAGTATGTTGTCAACAAAAGTCTGATTAAATAAATATTTCGATTTTATTCAAATTTCTTTATTGAGCATTTTAATAGCATCGCTTTCGAATGAAAAGGCATTATCGAGACCGACTATGAGTTCTCGCGAGATTGTTGGCGCTCGGTAGAGCCGAAATAATATTCCATCGATCGTGCGTAATTCACAGTCACTTAACACAATTTGCAGGTTATTGCGCGAGTGCTTTATCCTATTATTACCTTATCTTGCTCGCGCTACTTCGTGTTCGTTAAATGCATGGATCTCAGAATTTATCTGCTGCGAATACTTGATAACGCTGACTACTGTGTACACATTAACTATCTTTTCAGGAACATACTTTATCCCTATTTACATATGTTTCATATTTTGCAAATAAAAATATAATCTCATAAAGTAATCATATTTAGTAATAAAATATAATTCTCGCGTTTAATAAGAAAGTTTTACTATGAGAACATTTTTTATATTATTTATTCGTGAAAAAAAATTTCGTAGGTAATTGTACTTCTTAAAAATGCATGACATATATTATTAAAAGACAATCTCGCTCAAAATCAGCTTCTCTAATTATTGTCGGAAAATCTCGCAGTTATTTTCTGCAAATTTCCGTTCAATCATCAGGATCTCGCTAAGAAACTGCAGAATAAGTAAATTCGCAATCGTCCACGCGTAATATTATCATTATAATTAAGTGAACAGATTGCAGTAACATCTCCCGCAATTTCTATTTAATCACTACCTTGCCAAAAAGATATCAACAATATTATAAAGTGCAGTCATAGCAAAAAATTGGAGCAATCGAACTAATTGAGAAAGAACAACTTTTTAAATAATTTCCATTTGCTTGTTGCCACATTTGCGGATTTAATTTCTTATATCAAACTACCTCAAATTATGTCGATAAATTTTCATTTAAAATTTCATCTTAGACATAGTACTATCCGATCGTCAATCAGTACGTCCGCTTATTGTTCCTCTCCTCGTTCTTGTGATTTTGTTTTGCCAGAAAAAAAACTCGAGCTTGGAGCTCGAGAAGCTACGACCGCTCTCTAGCAATTCTTATTTCTTCTCTGTGATTTCCGTCGATTCATCTCCGGTCAGACCAGGAGAAATCACGAAGATCTGATCGCGTGTTTTCCCTTCTTCACGACCGCTTTGTTCAAATTCTTTAGATTCCTACCATACAATCGTATGCCGAGACCGAGGCTTTTCTGTGCTAATGACGTAGATGCTGAATGTGCTGAGACTGCTATTGTATTACCAAAAAGACCTCCATCGCCCATCAGGTTTGTTACGAATACAACAGTGTTTGTTTTAACATAGGTAATAACTAAGATGTTTAAAATTAAAACTATAAATTTAATATTGGATCGCATCATCAGTTTTATAAAAACAATTTACGACACGGAAATAACGATTTTGCTGAAGTTATATATACCTAAAAATTTAGCTAGATACAGATCCGAAAATAATATTGTTGGACTATATATCAAAATAAAATATAATAGGAATTTCAAGCATGATGAGTAATATGTCAAAAAGTTTTGACATATTGCTCTAGGAATCAGTTTGAACAAACATACTGATTTTGGTTCAATAAAATTATTTTCAGATCTGTATATATTCAACTAAACTTTTATACTTCAGCAAAATCATTCTTTCTGTGGAGTTTCAATAAAATTCGGATTTTTTTTTATAGACACATTTTGCCCGGGAGATTCGATCTGCGTGCTAGTACCAAAGAGTTATTAAAGCGACGAAGCATCACCAAAGCTCGAAGGTATTTGTGGGAATTTAAGGATCGAATTTTGCAGAGCGCAAAACAAGTTTGGAATGCGGATGTCGATTTGGATTTGGTTATTTGCACACTAGTGCTCCATGCAATGTGTGAAAACGTGATTTGGACAATGGCTGGCATAGGAATTGATGCCCATACTTTTATCAATATGGCCATTAGCTGGATATTAATTGATTTACAAATTTTAGATCCGATTATGCTGAGTGAGCAAGAACGCATTATGTTCACTGAATTTGAATTACTTGACATTGACGGTACGTATAATAATATAAACTTTTTTATATTTTTAAAATATTATTTTATTTCTTATTATTCCAGAATTAAAAAGCGATCATTTCTAATTTAACATGTATCTATTTTTTTATCGTAAAATTAAAATTTAAATACATTATGTTTTATGTTTTATTTTTGCAATTTTTTTAGTAAAAATATAATTTCCAACAAAAACTGCCATTGTTGTAACAATATTTGCAAAATTAAAATACAGCCCTATTCAGACATTTAACGAATATGTACGCATACTTGTGTTTCGTTAAAATAGTTAATGCATATTTGTGTTTTGTTAAAATAGTGAATTGAAGCTTTATCATATAATTTGTTATGTGTGTAACATCGCAATCGATCGTGACTATAGAGACCGAGTTAGAAATGGAGCGCATTAGCGTTGGAAAGTACCGGGAAACTGCGACTTGAAAACACACTTAACTATTATATACATATACTCATTAACACTAAAACGTAATACACGGAACTTCTTGCGATTAATACACGAGATAATATATTATTTGTAAGCTTGAATATTCATCAAATTCGTCAGAGCGTTCGACAAGCCATGAAATGGTCGTCTCTTCGAAACTCCGTAGAACTCTCTTCGAAGTGCATCGTCCAAAGTTCGATCCGCACGTCTCGATTCATTTGCATCGTAGTTTGCCATGGACGCTGGTCAGTCCCGCACATCAGACGGACGTTATTAAATTTTATCCTAATGTGAGAGAACGAATCGACGAGAAGTTATCGGACACATCTGAATACGTGAAATCAATCTATATACCGGATGTTACGTGTTCTCACTTCTGAGAGGTGCCAAATCAAGATTATATGGCTTAAAAGAAATCCAAGTGAAATTCCTTGATCCAAATCCCTTGAGAAATCAATTATGAGTAGGATGACTAAAAATAAAGGACCGTATTTTACTTAATACTTCAGAATGCAGTTACTTTAACATATTGCGACTCGAGACAAAAAAGTATCGCAGAATTTATTCTGAAAAGACTCATGAAAGTATATATAATTAGAAAATGGAGAAATGAGAAAATATAACTTGAATAAATTCAATGTCTGTAAAAGAAATGAAATTGAAATAAGAGATAGAAAAAATTGAATTGTATAATTAAATTGTAAAGTACAGAGAATTTCATATTTTCTCTATATTCTTTTGTAAAATAAATTTCTAATTTTTGTAATTTTTTCATTGTTTGGAAATGTATGAAAATTTCCTATCAAAGTTTCCTGTTATAATAAAGTTATAATAAAGCTTATAAAAAATATAATTTTTGCAAATCTTATGTAGATATAATTAAACGAAAGAATCCTACACAAACAGATACTCTAAGAAATATGGTTTTAATTAATTGTCACTATATTGCGATTCAGGTTTAAGAAGCTATAAATATTTTGCAACTGGGGAAATTCCGCCGCGAGTCTCGCAATAATTCACGTCGGTCGGCCACCTTCCGTGCGACGATGAAATTTTTATGTTCCGCAATTTCAATCCACGAAACTCGTTAGTCAGACAATCGTGCGACAGTTAATTAATTCAACGAAATTAATTTGGTAATATTAATTATATTATTAATACTATAAACGGCTGTTTTCACTCAAAATTTCTTCGTGGAAATAATGAATCAAAATTATTGGCGTATAAAGCTGCCAATTTTGTTGAAATTTATCGTATAAAAAAATTATGCGGACATTTTCGATGTGCATGATATTCACGTCTATATTATCGTTCGATCACGCGGAAAAATGTAGTCAACACTGCATTATCATGACAATCGAAGGTTGTCAGGTGTGCTCGGACCCTTCCATGAATGGCTTAAAGTCCTTTACACGAAGATCGATGCATCAGAATCAGAAGGTGCACCTAAGGCTGTTCCTTGAAAGGAATATAAACTGGACGCGGCGGCGAATATCGTGGACGTAACTTGAAGAATAAAGAAGAAGAAAAGCGACGCCATTCGTTGGACATTTAATGGACTTTTCGCCTCGCGGCGTCTCGCCGACTGCTCGCGCCGACTGCTGATTCAGCGTGGAAATTACGTCAGCTTCCTCGAGAGGATGGAGCACATGCGGAAGTGCCACGCCTTTCTCTTCCTCTTCGTAACATCTAACAGCCTTCAAGCCTTGTCTTCAGCCACGACGGTGGCAAAACGGCAGCTTTTCTCTCGCAGGATGTGCGAATTATGTGTCCGAAGTAGAAACGCGTGGAGAGCTGTCGGGGGTCTTTACTAGTTTTATTCAAGAGAAATTAAAAATGTAAGTAGTCTAAAATGTTCGCAGTAGTCGGATAAATTCGTTTTAATTTTCACATTATAATTATTAATTTTTATTATCTCTGTATTTAAGAAACAAAGATTATTGTGTCATTTGCTTATGTTTCTATAGTTTAATTTAAAAACTGATTACAGATACCTATAAAATTTGATGTTTGAGTAATGAATATTGTTATATTGCCAAAATAGAATTAAAACAATTCCTAATACGAAGGTAAAATACTAAGAACAAGCACTCAGAAGGTTAATATGATGCTTTAATGATCTATATTTTTCATCCGTTGCAGTCGCCGGAAGCCAAACCGCGAAGACTTTTTTTTATCGAGCGCAATGACGGAGATCTTCAATTTTCCATGTCGCGGAAATCGCATTTACGTCGCCTGCACTTTCGATATCCCTCCTTTAACGCGGCGCCCATTAATTGCTTAAAAGCCTCGGGTTACTGCATCCCGTTAAGAACTAAAATATGATTATCGAGTGGTAATTAACGATCCGACGTATACGTTATCATGAATTATTCATGTATTGTGAACAGCAAATAAATTTAAATTCTGTTAACGTTGTTGGCAGCAATGTTGGTAGATGAGCAACGTATATCAGAATAATTTTCGTTCAATAAAGATTATTTTTAATAAATATTTTACATAGCTAAAAATATATAGACATAAGTTTTTGTTTTAGTGGAGATTATTTTATGTAAAGTATTTACGAGATTTAAATTAATACATGGGTCGCAGTTTCATGAAAATAAATGTATTATTGACGATATGTCAATAAAATCTGATGTTTTAAAATCTTTTCAATTACGCATTTAAATATAGAGCAAAAAGATTATAAAAATAATGCAAGTATTTCGAAAGTAAACCTTTATAATCAATAAATATTTATCTAACAATAAGATAAATATTCTATAGTTCATCGCGTCATCATATTTCATCAACAAGAAAGGAAAATATCCGAGGGCTACGCCCAAAGGGGTTTAAACACTCGCAATGTCAGAGTTAACTACATGCGTTCGTATATCCTCCATTCATTATCTTGTTATCTCCCCCCTCAAACAATACATAAGCTCGACATTGTCACGCTGATTACTCGGAAGCCGCTAATAACACCGTATACAATGCCGAACTTGCAGAGCCGGTCGAATCAATGCCAGGCACTCTTGCGAGGCCACCACCGAGCTGTCCTCGAAGCTGATAAATATTCATAGCTCACCATGGTTGGCACGATTTCCTCGTCGTAAAACGGCCGGATGACGCGGGCGAATCCCTGCGACAGTTCCATCGTTCTGCGTCGCGATAATCACATCCAGTAATGCCGCGCCCGCTTGAATCGTTGAACACGTCGTAATTGAACCCTCGTTCCTCACGGAACGAAATTTTTGAGCGAATTAAATGGCATACAGCGTCCAGGCGCGTAATTCTGTACCGTTAATTACGAATTCTGTGTATCTGCATATCGAAGGATTCAACTGCGAACACGTTCGACGATTTAAGTGTGGTGTATCTTAGGAAAATGTTATTAATGAGAAATGACGGCTGGCATTTAAATCATGGAAATGTAGAAATAGAGAAATAAAGAATTAATAAAAATTCGTTTCAATTTCTTAATTACAAAATTAAGGGTTTTATAATCATTTCTATTCTTTATCCAATCAGTTCGATTTTAATTTTCACAAAAAACAATCAGATGAAAAATAAAGTTTTATTTTCGTTGGAATAAAATACTTTTGTGTTTAACATCTGAGTGCCGTATCATAATTTATATCACTGAGAAAGGCAAGATCAGCACTTTTCGAGAGTATTTGCTATTTCACTGTTTTTAAAATACAAATCCAATCTTTTTTCGTCACGAGCGCTTAATTCTTTCCAAGATGAGAATTCTACAACATAAGTATGTATATTTCCATCATAGGTAGTTAACTATTGCATAATCGCGTTTTAATAATTATACGCACAAATGTATATGGCTTCTATGAACTAGCATTGCTGCACATTACATTTTAATCCAATATCAGAGCGCATACCGTACGATATAATCTCGGATCAACTGGCCAAGGCTAAATGCAGCTTGTGTGTGTACTGACTTCGTCATTTGGCAAGCTCTATATGCGATCCGTGAGTTGCCATGTTCGATATTAATGGCTTTCTAGCAGAGTTAACATCCAAGAGAAGATTATATACATACGAAATCGGCAAAATTAAAAAGGATCTGATCGTTGGAATCTCTCATAAAGCTAAGATAAAATTACGTAAAGCATATACATGCACTAATGAGTGACCCATCTATTCTCATCCTTGCAATTGTAGACGAGAAGTCATAAATTGTATTTTTTCAAGAAAATAATACAATTAGTTTCTTATTGTTAATAATTATAGAGAGAGAGAGAGAGAGAGAGAGATAAAAGAAAATAGATTGCTTTTACTGAAATAGATTGTGCTTATTGAGTATATAGTAATTATTACATCCATATTCTTATTTTATTCTTGATTTTACATGGTACATTTTTTGCTTAAACCCAAGAGCATTTTTTTTTAATAAAAAATTAAAAATTGAGTTGTAATTCTTAGTTGATTATTTACTATATAGCATCTATTTTATATAACATCAAATTACATAGTAATTTTAACTTGATAATAGAATTATCAGACAGCAGAAAAGTATCTAGATCAAAAGTAACGTTTTTTTGTGACTAAGAATTTATTTCAACAAAGCGACGCGACCATATGCGACATAACAAATCGCTGGTAATGAGGCTAAATAGGGACAAACATTTATCATTTCTCCTGCGGGTGTTGTTGGCATTGCAGATATCTCCTGATAATAATAGTTCGCTTGATCATGGCTGGAATATCTTTCTGTAATCGAAAATATCAATAATAACAATTAAAGTAGATTTGTTTAAAAATGTTTCAGCATCCCGAATTTTGTCGTCTAAATATCAATGTGATTTCGTCTCTATTGTAAATAATAATTAAGAATGTGGAGGGAGAATTTTAAAATAACTGAAAATTTATGAGCGGTTTGTAGTTGTTATAATATTATCCAATTAAAAATTGTATTAGTATTTCTAAAATACATTGAGTAATATTCCACGTAATTCATGGTAACTTATTCTAATAACAATAATTATTATGTAAAATGAAATAAAGCTTGTTTCTTAATTATTGTAAAACGAATTTATATTGTAATAAAGATTTAAATATGTGTTATTAAAATAAAGAGATTTAAATATTAGACAAACTATAAATATCTTAAGATTTCAATCACTTGCCTCAAAGTGCTCGTCTCGGATCCGACATTATAGATCGGCAGTGCAACGCTTCCGGTGGAAAGAGATGGAAAAAAGTCGAAATGAATACGGAGCATTGAATAGAATAATGATGAATGCACATCTCCCAATGGAGATGCGCGTGATCGCTGCTGCATTTATCACTAGTTTCGTATGCTGACATACGCTTTTGATATATACGCTACTCTTATTTATCTCGTATGCGTGGATTTATAATTAACGCACTAATTACTATTTATAGAAATATTAAAGTAAAATTTTCATT